TATGGGGCTTTTGGCCCACCTGCCCACAAACTGTCCCCCCCCAGACTCAGGAGGTACCAGTCACCCCTGGTCATATCACAGAATCATAGGAAATGAGGGTTGGAAGGGACCTCAGGAGGTCATCTAGTCCAACTGCCTGCTCAAAGCAGGACCAGCTCCAACTAGATCATCCCAATCAAAGCTTTGTCTAGCCAGGTTTTGAAAACCCCCAAGGATGGAGCTTCCACCATCTCTCTGGGTAACTTGTTCCAGTGTTTCACTACCCTCCTAGTGAGAAAATTCTTCCCGATATCTAACCTAAACTTCCCTTGCTGCAACTTGAGACTGTTGCTTCTTGTTCGGTCACTCCTGTTTGTGAATTGGGAAATGCTGGCATGGAGTAGGGAAGAAAAGAACGAAGAGGAGTAGGGCAGGGTGTGCTTAGAAGGGTATGTCTTAATTCTAAAACTCATCCCAGAGACTCCAGACTCAGGGGGCTTGGCTGGGAGAGGCAGATAGCAGCTGAAGAGAATGCTCTGCTATTATTACCAAATGGAAGTTATAGTCAGCATGAGGAACCTGAGCAGATCTTTTTTCTGAGCAACAGAGGCAGCAGTGAACAGAATGCCTCACTAGAGAGTAATTTCTTAAATGTCACACAGGAGCTAAGATGCTTGTACTCAAATTGTATCTTCAGTCCAGTGTGTTTTTTCAGCTAACATTGTCATCAGCCTCTGCTATCAAACCCAATCCAGAATATGTGCTGCTCTGTAGAAAATCTGGGGGGCGGGGGCAGTGGAAGATGGGGGAGGAAGAATACAATAGTCATAGAAAACAGTCATTGAGAAAGATACTTAGTTGTTTAATTGCCAGGTTTCTCTAGATTTATTAACAGCTCCTCCTAGCAAAGGTCCGGGAAAGTGATCATTTTTTTGCCTCAAGAAGGAAATGAAATGCTTTGGACCAAGTTAGTACTTGGATGTGGGTGGTGGGTTGGGGGGACCAAGGAGGGCCAGAAACAAGAGAATTGGGCTTTCTGTTCTTTCACAGCCTCATCGTGTTACATTTTACATTGAAAAGCCGATATGATGAAGACAGGCCAAACGGTGCCCTGCCCGTGTACTGAAGACTACAGGGGGTCCTGGTACAAGACAAATCTAGTGGAGTTGGTAATGAATACCTTTCACCCATAGGGAGAGCAATAGGCAATAGAGGCCATGGACAAGTGTGCTGTTTGAAGTGCTCCAAAACAGCGAGGGTACAGATATTTGCTCCTGAAAAAGTGCTCCAAAAAAAAAGTTACTCTTAGGGCAATACCATATTTATTCAAATACAAGAAGACCCTGCATATAAAACAACCCCTGCAAAAATTAGGTTCTACACATGGAAAATTTATAAATGTATGGAAAATTTTCCATCTATGGAATTTAAGTATTGGAGGATCATGTTAAATTCATCCCCACCCAACTACTGCAGATGGTGGGGGGAAGAGTTGATGAGGGGGACAGTAATGGCGCACAGACAGTGGAGGAGGCAGTAGGGAGGCATGTGGTAGGGCAGGCAGTGGGGAGCAGTAATGGGACAAGCAGTGAGAGTCAGGTGATAGGGGGCAGGTAGTGTGGAGGCAGTGGGACAGGCAGCGAGAGGCAAGCAGCTGTCCTTGCTGTCTGTCCTGTCCCATCTCACTTGTCTCCCATTGTGCCTGTTCTGTCTCCTGTTGCGTCTGTATCCCCCACCATAGCCTCAAACTGCCCTAATTCCCCCTTCCTCTGTTCTCCCTTCCATGCTGCTTCTGCCACCTGCAGCATCATCTTCCTCCCATCTTCTGCCCTCCCCTAAAGCCTCTTCCCACCCCCACCTTCCCTTCCACCCCTCCTTTACCTTTTCCATGCCAGCAGGCCCCAGGCCGGCTGCTCCAGTCTAGCTCTGGCATGGCTCCAGCCGAGCTCCGCAGCAGTGGTGTAGAGCTGGCACTGCTGGTACAGGGCTGGGCTGGGCTGGAGAACAGGCTCTGTGCTCAAGGCTGTGGCAAAGGCAGGGTCTGCCACCAGAGGAAAGATAAAGAGTAATGTGGTAGAAGGGGAGAGAGAGGGAGAAGCAGAATGGAGGGGTGGGGGGAAGACTGGGGCCTGCAGGGGAGGAGTTTGGGGGCTCTGGGTGCAAGCAGAGGCGGGA